AGGGACGTCGGTGGGGGGCACACGGGGATGTGGGGGCAGTGGTGGGGTTGCAGATGATGCCATCCCGTGCCATCCCATGCCATCCCATGCCATCCCATGCCATCCCATGCCATCCCATGCCATTTGTGTCCCCCCCCTGCCCCCCCAGGGCTACAACAGCTGGACCAACGGGCTGTACGGCTACTCGTGGGACATGATGGTGCACTCCCGCTTCCATCAGCACGTGAAGATCACGTACAGGGACGGGCTGACGGGGGAGGTGGGCTACCTGAAACCAGGGGTGAGTGAGGGCGGCCCTATGGGGGGCTGGGGGAAGGCTGAGGGGGGAGGGGGGGCTCTACCTTCTGATAGAGGGGGGGTCTGTAGGTGTTCACGCAGACCCGGCGCTGGAAGGACCACGCCGACATGCTGAAGCAATACTCCATGTGCCTGAGCCAAATCCTGCCCCAGTACAACGTGTCCCAGCCCCAGATCTACTTTGACATCTGGGTGTCCATCAACGACCGCTTCCAGCAGAGGTGGGGGCACGGGGGGGGATGTTGGGGTTCCAGTGGGGCACTGACCCTGTTGGTTGGGACACGTATGGGGACGTTGGTGCTTCCAGTAGAGGTGGGGACACGAATGGGGACATTGTGGGGGTCCTGTGGGGCACTGGCACCATCAATAGGGACACGAATGGGGACACTGTGGGGGTCCTGCGGGGCACTGGCCCCATCAATAGGGACATGTATGGGGACGCTGAGGGGGCCAGTGGGGCGCTGACCCCATTGGTGGGGACATAAAGAGGGACATGGGTGACAGTAGAGGTGGGGACACATATGGGGACATTGTGGGGTTCCTGTGGGGCACTGACCCCATCAATAGGGACACAAATGGGGACATTGTGGGGGTCCTGTGGGGCACTGACCCCATCAATAGGGACACAAATGGGGACATTGTGGGGGTCCTGTCTGACCCCATCAATAGGGACACACATGGGGACGCTGAGGGGGCCAGTGGGGCGCTGACCCCATTGGTGGGGACATAAAGAGGGACATGGGTGCTTCCAGTAGAGGTGGGGACACGTATGGGGACAGTGAGGGGGTCCAGTAGGGGCACTGACCCCATAACTGCATCCAGTAGAGGTGGGGACACATATAGGGACATTGTGAGGGTCCTGTGGGGCACTGACCCCATTGGTGGGGACACAGATAGGGACACTGGGGGGCCAGCAGGGCGCTGACCCCATCACTGCATGCAGTAGAGGTGGGGACACATATGGGGACACTGAGACAGGGGGACACTGGTGGGATCCTGTGGGGTGAGGACACATATGGGGACACTGGGGGGTCCTGTGGGGCACTGACCCCATCAGTAGGGATATGGGGGGGGG